TATATAAAGTTATCAGTGAAAGATATCCAAGCAGAGGACATATTTTATTATTCTCATATTTGTGTAGAGTAATGGAACATGCCTCTATCGCCTCTGATGTTCACTGCAAATTCCATCCATCCATTATCTACACCCACCCCATTGCTCTCTAAAGCAAAACACAATGATCGGTTGAAGTCAGTCAGGTGCTAGTAGGATGTCGTAGCTCCGCCCATTGGTGGCGTGAGGAAGACTTCATTGTCACATCACTACCTTGAAGTTTAAGATTTGTCCCCGGCCCCAATTCCAGACTACAGTAAAACACTCACAAAAAGTACATAATTACATTGTCGCCTTACTGCTGTTATGAGTACCCTTAATTCTTATAATTACGCAACAGCCAGTGCCTGTACTGTAGTCAAACATTTCTCTGCTGCTCCCAAAATATGCTGGTCCAATGCAGAAGTACCCCCTTATTTCAGGAGGTCACTGATCCTACTTGTATGTAGGCCCCACCCAATCCGAAGAATCAGTGTCCCATAAACCTGAAGCCCTGTTTGTTACAGCAAGATTCGAGCCATGTGACGTATTTCATAGAAGACCGTTGTGGAGGTTCTGCCCTTGCAGAACCTTAAACCATTTTTTTTTCTGTATAAAATCAATCGTGACCACTGGATCCACACCCCCCCAAGCTGGTCAATAGTTATCCCACAGCCTTTTCCTGGATGGGTCCCACCATATCTGGAGATCCCTGCCCTGAACAATTTGACATGCCTTGTTCTGTGTCCAGCTCTCTCTTTCACTCCCTGCCTGATCTGAAGACAGGGAAAGGAAAAGGATTTCATTTTTCATTGGTTTTAGAAAAACCCACATCCGAGATGATGGGCAGCAAGCATCCTCGGAAGAACTGAAGGGAGCATGTGAAGGAGGATTGGAAGGAACATTGCTGGCCCAGGGTAAATTCCAAGTCAAATCTGTCTGTTACTTTATATACATTACTCAACATACCATCACTGTGTGGCATGATTAAATTTCTTCTCAAATATTAATTATAAATGCACATGCTCCGATTTTATGCAGAGTCTTATGGAAGACTCCACTAGAATACATATACAAACTGAATCAAACGTATCTAAAAAATAGTTCATTAACTCTAAGTGATGCATTTTACAGGGTTTTCTGGTTTTCTTTTTATCTCCTATAGTTAAAGGCAGTGTGTAGATAGCAGAATGGAACACATAATCAAATACTTAATGAATCGTCTCAAACTGTATCAAATAATGATAAACCATCTGCTAAGTGGTACATGTATATTTAGAATTGATAAAATAGCTATGGAATGTATTTAAATACAGATTATAAAATGATGTTGAAATCTGACATGGAACAGGTAGCGCTACAGTTTTCCATTGATTTATTGTATTTCCGCTCATGTAAAACGGCAGAAACTCTTTACCCGAACTGTATGAGTTAACGTGGATCTTATATTTACAGGAGTCTAGTTTAATGTTAAAAAATGCATATCAGGAAATGGCCTTTGTTTTCAAGGTTTTCTGGTTTACAGTGAATTATGATGTTCATATTCTTAGTCCGCATATAATAACTACACTGGTCAGGGGTAGTTCTTGGAACTGAGAAACAGATGCATCAGTCATATTCTTCAGCATCAAGAGTTGTGCAATAGTCACTCATTATGTGGTCAATGTGTACCCAGAAAAAAAGCAGTATGTTTACAACACTGAAAATAATTATGAGTTTTTCTTGGTATATTTACATCTTCTTCAGTGATATTCATTTGTTTGTTATCGAAATTGTATATAGTCTGTTCTCAAAGGTAAACCTTTAAAGAACACATTTTCTAAAATTTAATTGTATCGTGATCAGAACATTCCATTTCCATTTAGACAATTTTACACATACGTACAGCATGTTTCCAGCCTCTCAGTCCATTTAACCAACGGTTTCCTTCAGAGCACTTGTTCTGTAATTAGCAAATTCCTGTTTTGACACAATAGATTGTTGATGGATTGATTTACCTCTTGCAATATTTCATTTAAGTTTCTGCTTTTGATGTGGGGGGCATAATTGTTCAATCAAAATAAGGGCCAAAACTAAGGTTTCCCACAAGTGGGAAGTCAGTCAATTTATTATGGAAAAAATTGATTTGATGCTGAGCAATGCACTCCAAAACAAGAAGCAACATCCGGCCCGAACGCCCTCATATAAACATTCACAAGATTCTCCAGACACCAGTTAATTGTTTTGCTGAGGCTTGGAACTTTAGAACGCTGGCTCTCAAGTTTCCACATTTTCAGTGGAATTAAACCACTCAGTTGTTTGCAAGAGAAAAAGGATACACTGTCAACAAAAGGTAATACCATCGATATATTCTTTCAATGCTATTCTTAATGAAATGTATTGTAAAATGAGAACCAACGTACAACTGATTCAGACTGAAATTGTTTTGAATACCTGAATGTGTCTGGCGTATCTTGTCGTGAATATTTTTCATTTTTTGAAAGCATGAAAGCATCGCTTTGACATTATGTACATCATTTTGATATCTTACAGAAAGTAAGATACAAGAGATGGCGATTTTGAGGACCGCACTATTTATTCTCCTTATTGTGACAACATCTTCAAAACCAGTAAGACTGTTTCTGAATGTTTTCCACTTGTCAAACAATAGATACCATTTTATTTTCATTGTACTACCTATGCATGACAACCGGACACAAAGTAACAAAATAGAATATCATCCTGTTCTTGTTAGTTTTGTAAGTGTCATTGATTTATGGTCAACAGGTCAGCTGGTATGAGTATCACTTCATGAAAATGGTTGACAAAAGCCTGGATTCACCCGAATCCATCGAATCCAATGACTCCTCCTCAGAAGAGATTGCTGCACAAGAAACGACATCTCAACCAGTTGTTGCAGATTTGATAACCCCGCCAGTAGTTCCAGATACAGCACTGCCAGTCATCCCTGAAACTACACTTCGGCCAATCATTGCGGAGACGGCTCCTCCACCATCTGTCATTGTGACATCAGTCCCGCCTTTCATTGCTGACACTACACCACAGCAAATGATAGATGAGACAGCTAACCCCTCTGTTGCCTTGACAGCAATGCCACCAGTCATTGCGGAGACAAAGGGTGCACCAGCCAATGGAAAAACAATTCAACCAGAAGTGCCTGTCACTGCCAATGGTGGCATCTCTCAGTGTGTTATACCAGATACTGCTAGTACCCCACAAGTTATAGAGGCTAGAGGGGACAACTTATAACTAATAACCAGCAAACTATTGGATTTATTTGGTAGCATGGTTTTACTATATTACAGTATTCTAACATGTGCATTTTACCTTGTTATGACAATTTTTTTCTCGTACTTCGTTTATATGATTTTTAAACGATTATTTTGAGATTGAACTTGATTTAACAAAACGCACATACTTATTTATATTTATAATATATAAATAGTGGATCACATTTTATTTTACCATGTTATCCAGCTGAATTATACAATTATTCATTTCTGTACAATTTTTTGCAGAAATAAAAATGCTATAAATGTCTCTGGACTTCATGGAGGCTTTGTGTAATCTGCCTGCAAATATTGTACCACAGGGTTTTTTAAACAGCATGTAGATATATTTCTTTAACACAATTTAACCAACATTTAAACTTTAATAAATTTTGACCAGAACATTAAAATTCAGTTTTCAGGTGATGGAGATTTTATTATGGCACCACAAAATTATTCTATTTTTACTCCGACATTTTTGACATCTGGCTAAATTTGGACTCACATTGCACTCAGCTAAGCCCTACAATACATCCAGATCATTACTGCGATATAGATTTCTCTTTCAGTGCCTGATCCTAGCTGTAACCCAGACCTAGACAGCACTTAATGTACTGCAACAATGGTAGCGAAGACCACTGTCACAATTGCCTGACTTTGTAGAGCACAGATTACCTCAATTTTAGCATGCTATTTTTCATACAGCTATGCAAAAACTGACAAAGCTGGGTGTAATGCATAACTACATTCCAGCATTTTAGCAAATACGACAACAGGATGGTGCCAAATAATAAGTTTTTCTTCAATATTAGAGCATCTAGTTGCATGTCATAACTGATTTCCTGCATTTTCAGAGGATGCTTCAGTGCAAATGTACTGATATGGTGTGGATGACAGTACAATAATTGGTTTACAGTTGTGTATTATCAACAGTTTTAATATTTGTACTGAGAGACTAATAAAAAGTACCACCACCGCATATAACATTTATTCACATTTGTCTTTTCTACAAAATGTAACATGTACTACAGAGTAACACATGGAATAAGAAGTGTTTGGTCCAAGAAAACTCTTCTTAAATAACATTGTGATTCCATTTATACCTGATATAGAAACAACATTTTTCTATATAAATGCTACTTTTGTACAAAATACACTGGAGTTAATGTAAATAAATCTAATCATCAAAAGGGATCATCTCAAACACCAGGAAATCACATGGATTAAATCATACTATAGGAATGGTTTTATGCAAAAACAAAAATGCATTCTGAAACACTTGTAATTTCAAGGACTGGATGTCATTACACATTAAATATCAATATATCCATGACATTCCTGAGTTTTTAGAGTGGAAAAATTATGATAAATTAAAAGCCACTAGTGTATATGTAGACTAACCTATGGTTGAACATAGATCCTCTTGCAGGGTAAACAAAAATGTGCAGATATTTTCAGGTAAGCATAAATAAATTCTGCCTATGCAGTGAAGAAGTGTGCTGGAATAAAACTCAGTCTACATGCAGATGTACAGTGAATCCTGTTTTAATGTTCCATAATTATGTTGGCATACTTATACAGGTACCTTTGCATTCAATGACTGAAGGTCCTGTCCCACTTTCATTACTCATTTAGCTTAGTCTCCAAAGCAACTTACAGTTGATTATACTAGACAAGGGGTTAAGGGCCTTGCAGTAATTGTGTTCTTACTGTTGCGGGACTGGGGTTGAACCACCAACCTCATGGGTCACAGGCATGTATCTTAACCACTAGACTAAAGGCTGATCTTGCAAAGTAGTCATCGCACAGTTGCTTAAGACTGTAAACAGGCATGCATTGCCACTTGTCACTTCAAAGATACCACGAAAGGATACCTTTATCTCAGAATTCAGCACTTGCACTGGACTGTTAGGTAGACTTTTTAGTGAATTACTGAAGAACAGAATAACAGCATGTCTTCAAGAACTTGAAGAACAGAATGTTGAAGAACAGAATAACCTATATACGGAATAACTGGAAGCAATTCAACATCTGGATCAGCTAAAGTGAAATGTTAGATGACTTGTGACTGATGGAAGCGGATTAAAAAAAAAACAAACAAGATTCAAGGATCATTTTAGATACCAATTCAGAGGGATAAAAAAAACCTTTAGGCAACACATTCTACATTGAAAAAAAATGTTTGTTGCATTTTATTGATAGGTGGTGACTATGATATTGACAATTATAAGCAACAATTTACTTAGTGACATTGACAAATCAAACCTCCCACATATGAATTAACAAACTATGTACAATCAGCAACCAGGAAAATTATATCAGCTGCATGAGACTCTGGGATTAAGCAGAATGTCATTTGAACAAAGCTGGAGACTCAGAGACAAGGCTTCAGGATTTGAAGTGAGTGAGGAAGGGTGGACGGGATGCCGTGACAAGAGTGTCCACTGCCTCAGTCACTGGGGCGACTGCTGGTTCTGCTGCCGTGGTTTCAGTCCGCCGTCCTGAGCAGTGTTGTAGGAGCCGCAGCCGCTGCACTTCATGCCCAGGACGTGGAAGGGCACCGTGCAGTGTGTCTGGCAGTCATTACAAATGATCTGTGCACAGATGAGACCCAACACGTCACCTCCAAACCACATGACCATCTAAGTGTAAATCACCTCCAAACCACATGACCATCTAACTCTAAATCATCATTACAAATGATCTGTGCACAGATGAGACCCAACACGTCACCTCCAAACCACATGACCATCTAAGCCTAAATCACCTCCAAACCACATGACCATCTAACTCTAAATCATCATTACAAATGATCTGTGCACAGATGAGACCCAACACGTCACCTCCAAACCACATGACCATCTAAGCCTAAATCACCTCCAAACCACATGACCATCTAACTCTAAATCATCGTTACAAATGATCTGTGCACAGATGAGACCCAACATGTCACCTCCAAACCACATGACCATCTAAGCCTAAATCACCTCCAAACCACATGACCATCTAAGACTAAATCATCATTACAAATGATCTGTGCACAGATGAGACCCAACACGTCACCTTTCAAAACCACGTCACCATTTCAAGTCTAAATCATCATTTAAAATGTTCTGTGGACAAATGAGACCCAACACATCACCTCCACATCACGTCACCATTTCAAGTCTAAATCATCATTTAAAATGTTCTGTGGACAAATGAGACCCAACATGCTATCACCAAAATCACCATTTTAGTCTAATTCATCATTAAAAAAAAAGACCAAATAGCTCCTGATAAGAAACCAGTTCATAGTCTCCTGCTCTTTACTTAACGGTAATATTCATCAATGCTCTTCATTATGATAGTACAGGACTGGCAAAAGCCTTTATGGGGCCCTGGGGGGGCCCCCCACCGCCTTGTGGGACATTTCAAGTGCTCTTGTGGGCCCTCTGGTGGCCATGGGGGCCCTACGCAGGCAATTAGTTTTCTTATGGATTAGATCGGCCCATGTGATATCATCATTGTTTTTGCTGTGACTGCACTGAGACAGAACATGAAAATTTTATGTTTGCATTTATTACTTTTGTATGCCATTGCATAATTTTTTTTTTTTTTTTTTTTACACATCAATGTGATTGATCCCCTGGTTTGTTTGCATATATATATATGAATCTTTAACATTTGAATGATGATGTTAACAAGATGAGAATAATGATCATCTGATTTGCGTGGAAATTTACGAGATGTCAGAAGAGGACCACTGATGCTTGCCACAAAACTACCTTGACAGTGGCGTCCTGGTATTCACTCGGCATGGGCGTCTGAGAGATCTCCTTATCCATGTCTTCCCAGCAGCCCTCCATGTTCCAGGCCGAGCGCATGCAGAGGGGGCAGCGGTACGCACTGCAAAGGAAGGGCAGTTCGCTTCACTCAAAGGCTGATCTCACAAGCCTTTTCTCAGCACCGTTATCCACACAGCTAGCACCCGCATTTAGTATGGATTCGAACATTTATCTGTTACTGTTTACACGTCTAAATGATTTAAACCATATTTTTTAAGTGGTTGTTATTTTTTGGACATGTCCCAGGCATGGAATGATTTGGGGAATGTAAACAAATCTACTGTAAACCTTCTAGAACATTTCCATGAACAAATCACAAACTGCACAGCACACAGCCATAATAATATTAAAACAAATTATATTCCATATATGGTCATATGGAATAAACTGCATTGAGGGCCAGTCACAGAAAACATGTGCATCCATTACACTGATGATTTTTATCCTCCTATTCAGTGGGATCCAGGCTTTCAGTACATTTTTCTTTTCACAAAGAAATAAAATCTTGCCAGAACCCGAATAAACCATGAGTAACCATTTAAAACCAATGAATCACAAAAAAAATGTTTTACTTAGTGTCTTACCCAGTTTTACACATATCATCAAAACAGGTTCTGTAAAAATGAATAAAACAGCGAATTAAATTGACTATTCAAGATGCAACGTAACCAAGCTGTATTTTGTTTAGCATGCTAATTACATTAATCAACACCTGGCTCAAAATCCAGAGCAAAAGTGATTATCTTTGAGAGGTATTAATTTCTTAAAAATGGACAAATGCATATTAAAAAAATAAAATAACAAATGATTTTCAGGGAAATCAGAAACACCTCCACTGATTTCTTTTTAGTTATCACATTATTAAATTATCACTGATTAGTTTCTTGTATGAAGGATTTTATTTCAAAGCCTAACATTGTGTGAACACAGAAGTGACATACTTGTGAAGAAGGTGGCCACATGGAAGAACGTGAGCTCCTATTCGGGAAGTGTGAATATCCTTGGGTTGAACAAAAAAACAAATAACAAATGATATGGACTCATTTCCAGGTTAATTATCCATCCATCCTCTGTACCTCCATGATCTACATCTATTAGCCCTATGCTCAGAATACAAGCGGTGAGGTAGGCAAGGGACCAGTAGCCTCTGTATTTTCAAACTGTAGAGGTGCAAAATGGCCAAACCAGTCTCATTACTAGGGAAATATAGCATTGAAAAGTAATACAGCCAATACAGTGATTTCTGTTTCAATTTTCATTTGAATGCTGATGCAATTTTAATCTGACCATCAATAGACAGGATTTCTTAAAACTTACCTCCATACACACTGGGCAGTTTTGTCTTGAGACGTTTTCAACACACTAAAATCAAAAATTTTGAATTAGAATTTAGATTTACTTTCAATTAATAAAGAACACTTCCTATATGTGGTACTTCATACTTGTTATATAGTGGCAGAAGACACCATTATTATACAGAACACTATAATCTGTTGATATGTTATGGAGGTACAATTCAAATAGAAATTATTAGAAATAATTGGCAGTAAAGCACCTTGTGATTCCCTTGCAGGTCACTAACCAAGCATAGATTACACTTCACACAATGGAAGTATCTTTCTCTGGGCCCAATCCTGAAACATAAAAAATGGCATTTTACTTGAAATAAGGTTTCAATGCTTGGAATCCTCATGACTGAAACTTTCTATATCCCTACATTTTGACTGGCTGTGGCAAAATGAATAAAATGAATTAAAACTCATGCTCATTTTAGGTCAGTTTAAAATCCCTAAAAGCCAAACTGCCTGCACTGTGTCCAGGATATCCACGCTGTCCTAATTCTAAGGATTAACACTGAAATGACAACTCTCATCTATCGGGAGTTTGCAATTTAAAAATCAAATTGACATTGGGACTGGTGCAAATACAATTACAGCACAATGGATCCAAATACTTAAAGGATCAATTCAGATCAGTCCGATCAAAGTAAGTTTTCTTCATAATTTTCAAGGATCTATCTAAAGATTTAGTCAGCGCCATGTAATAATCACTTAGTTTGAGGACTCATTTAAAGACAAAATTGCATTTAGTATTTATGAAATTGTCCTCCCTTCAGGAAAGATTTAGAATAACTGCATGAACCATCCTTAAAGGATATGTTTCCAGTATGCATGAGACTAAGCGGCAGCTCACCGGCATATGCCACAAGGCTGGCAGTGGTATTGCTTCCTATCCTTGTCAAACAAGTGACAGACATCACAGTAGTAATCCCCAAACTTCACACTGCATTCCTCACATGTTTGCTGAGCCTGTATGGGCAAAACAAAGCAAAATATCACAGTTACATTCAACTGATACGGCTGAATATTTAACAATGGGACTAATGGGGAAAAACTGCATTCAAACCGATAACAATACACAGAAATAGTAACCCCAATGCATGCCACTTTGAGCCATTCCAGCTTCTTAGAGAAAAACCATTTCCTGTACCGACGACCAATTGCCTACTAGCTGCTTTTGTACAATAGGCTAAGTTGCATCTAGAAAGTCACAGAAAGATCAGAACTGCTAGAAAACTGTTCATACCCCATTCACATCCCTGCTACCATATGCACCATTTTACTGTAGTGTTTAGTGAACTGAATATGATATTGAAGAGAATATTATGGGTTTACAAACAGGTATGTGATTCAAATACAGCAAAAAATTTCACCAATCTTTATCTTATTCCTCAACCAAACACCAGGCGCTTATAAGAGACCAGCAGTTTTTGGTGACCTGTGGTTATTCTGTTTGACATACATCAAACTAAGTGAACCAAGACAAGCGAGGATTAAATGTCCTATATTCTGAACACATTTCTGTTATAAAATATTATACTTATGCATCCACAAAATCTCCAATATCTATATTTCAAAGTATACAGTAGTAAAGCCAATTGTGCAGTTAGAAAGA